GCCTCACCGTGGGTCGCAGGCTCGTCTCCTGACAAAGGGAGGCCGGGAGGCCCGGCCGCCGCCCGCGCCCACGCCGCCGTCCCCGTACCACCGCGAGGCCCACCCCGTGCGCTCCGCCCGGAGGAGGACCAGGGCGGCCCCGGACGTCGCCTCCGTGGTTGCAACCGAAGTTTGGGCTCCCACCCGCCCGGGCAGGAACCCACCCGTCATCTCTGGCCCCTGGGCCGCAGGCTACGTCAAGCCTCCTGATAGCATCTTTTCCTACCTGGAAGGGCAGGGCTTCAGCTCGTGGTTCCGCGGCTCTGGGCCACGGCGTGGGGCAGCGAAGACGCGAGGACGAGGGGGTCTCGTCACCCACTCACAGCCTGGGATGGGGGGGGAGGGAGGGAAGACGCCGCTCGGCGCGCCGCACATGCGCAGACGTCAGGGCTGCGCGCCCAGGGTCCTCGCAGCGGCGTCCTGTTGGCCGCGGAACTACATTTCCCACAAGCCTCCGAGCTGCACCGTTAGGGACGCTCTGCAAAGTCTAGAGGGTGGAATGAGCTCTTCTCAAAGACCATCTTGGCCCGAAATGTTTATTTCTCTCAGTAGGGGTTGTGAATTGCCGCCCATTTCTTTCTCTTTTTTTTTTTTTTTTGGTCCGGTCGTGGGGCCTGAACTCTGGGCCTGGGCGCTGTCCCTCAGCTCTTCAGCTCAAGGCGAGCGCTCTACCACTTGAGCCACAGCGCCACTTCTGGCTTTTTTCTTTTTGCTTATGTGGTGCTGAGGAATCGAACCCAGGGCCTTGAGCATGCAAGGCAAGCGCTCTACCACTGAGCCACCTTCCCAGCCCCCATTTCTTTCTCTAAAGTGAGTCTCAAAAACACACACACACGCAAGTAATCTATTTGTTATGAAAATACGCCCAAGAAGGCAAGTATTACCTTTCCAAACATAATTGTGTAATCCCTAATTTTTAATACGATTTTATTGTTTTTATTAAAGTGTTGTGCAGAAGGGTTAACATTTCACAATTCAGGTAATGCATATATTTCTCTTTTAGACAATGTCACTCACATAATTTTTTTTTCTTTTTTCTGTCAGTTGTGGGGCCTGAACTCTGGGCCTGGGTGCTGTCCTTCAGCTCTTCAGCTCAAGGTGAGCACGCTACCACTTGAGCCACAGCACCACTTCTGGCTTTTTCTGTTTATGTGGTACTGAGGAATCGAACCCAGGGCTTCTAGGTAAGCACTCTACCACTAAGCCACATCCCCAACCTTAGACATTTTTTGACAGTAATGTTCTTTCAATATGCATTTAAGTTTTCTCCATATCATTTTTTATGGTTTGATAGTTCACTTCTTCTCAGAACAGCATAATCTTCCTTCCACTGTTGTATATACCCAGCTCATTTATATGTCTGAATTTTTTTTCAGTCGTGGGGTTTGAACCTTGGGCTTGGGCACAGTCCCTGGGCTCTTCAGCTCAAGGCTAGCACTTTACCATTTGAGCCACAGCACCACTTCTTACCCAGCGCATTAAAAAAAAAAAAAGATATGTATACAAGAATGCACCACACTTAACCATTTATGTGGCAAAACACTGGAAATATTCTAGGCAAGGCAGGCACTCTACCACTTGAGCCACAGCCCAGTCCTTAATATTAGAAACATTTAAGAAGCTTTCAGCAGAGGTAAGTAATGTGATGATAGGTGTGTAAGATTGAAGAGACATTGAAAATGATGTTTACTAACTACATGGGGGAAGGGGTCTAATTAACTGAGAAAATAATAGAAATCACAGATATGAAAATATGGAAAGTATGCTCTACTTTGTAAAAACTGAATATTTTCAAGAGACTAAGCCCTGAAATGTACAGATGAGAACCCTACAACATGCACACACACACACACACACACACACACACACACACACACACACACACACACACACACATTCTTCTAACCATTTTATGCATAACACTATTAAGTACTTTGTATGTGGACAGTGTTTCTAAAGAATTTTTGAAATTTCAAAACTATGCTATTTTCTATCACTTTCCCTTAGGAATAAAGAAAAAAAAGATATTTTTTAAAACACAGTGTATTGTTGCACAGCCACCCCAATCATCCATCTCCAGAACTTTTTCATTCTCATGAACATAATTAAACATAAACACTACCTTCCCATTAAAAGAAAGAAAGACTCTTAATCTTGGAGGGAGGGGGAGAACCTCTTGCAGAAATGACTCCTCTGAAATGGTAACTCCTCTGTGTATCTTTTTTTTTTTTTTTTGTCAGTCATGGGGCTTGAACTCTGGACCTGAGCACTGTCCCTCAGCTCTTCAGCTCAAGGCTAGTGTTCTACCACTTGAGCCACAGCACCACTTCCGGTTTTCGAGTGGTTTATTGGAGATAAGAGTCTCACGGACTTTCCTGCCCAGGCTGGCTTTGAACTGCGATCCTCAGATCTCAGCCTCCTGAGTAGCTAGGATTACAGGCATGAGCCACCAGTGCCTGGCTCCTCTGTGCATCTTAATAACAACAATAAAATTATATATATATATATTATATTTTTTGGGGGGGGGTCCGGTCGTGGGGCTTGAACTCTGGGCCTGGGCGCTGTCCCTCAGCTCTTCACCTCAAGGCTAGCGCTCTACCACTTGAGCCACAGTACCATTCCCGGCTTTTTTCTTTTTGCTTATGTGGTGCTGAGGAATCGAACCCAGGGCCTCAGGCATGCAAGACAAGCACTCTACCACTGAGCCACCTTCCCAGTCCTAAAATTATATTTTTTAAAAAGAAAAATAGTGTGTATTTTTACTGAAATGCTCCTTTTCACTTTTTCTATTTTTTTTTCTACTAGGATTTCACAGTGCCCTTTTCTCCATCATCTACACTGAACGCTAGTGGTTGTCTGCTCTTTTTCCTAGCATGTTGAATGTTACTTCTCTTCGAACACGCTTACTTTCCACTAGCAGTGATTCCCTTCTCTTAATCAAGTTTTCAAAGGATTTTTTTTTTTGCTAGTACTGGAATTTGAATTCAGGGCCTTACACTCTCACTTCACTTTTTCACTCAAGCCTGGTGCTCTGCCTCTTGAGTTACACCTCTATTTCTGGCTTTTTGCTGGTTAATGGGAGATAAGGGTCTTTGATTTTTCTGGCTTTAACTGCAATCCTCAAATCTCAGCTTCTTCCTGAATAGCTAGGATCATAGACATGAGCCAGTTGGCTTTTTTTTTTTTTTCATAGTCCAGATTGGCCTGGTATTTGGGATCCTGCTGCCTAGCCTTCTGAGTGATGGCATTACAGGTGTGCACTACCACACTCAATGGCCTGTATGGTTTTAGGCTACTTTAAGTACCATACATAAATGGAACCAATATAGTATATTTGCCTTTATGTGACTGGCTTATTTCACTTAGTATAAGCTCCCTATGGTTCACCATGTTGTAGCTTGCGTCAGGATTTCCCTTCCTTCTGAGGATAACATTCCATTGTTTGGCTCTTACCATGTCTGTTTATCCTTTTACTCATTGCTTCCATAAATAACATTGTGAGTATAAACTCTCTGAGTGATATAGGCCTCCAGGTGAACATTATCCATGCAGGATAATAATCTAGCCAAGAATGGAAGGATCTATCTGACCTTTGGACCCATGAACCAGAGTGAATGTTTACAGTGTCAAGCCACTGAGTTGTGTTGTTTTCAATAAAGGAATAGCTGACATAGCACTTTTTGTTCTGCTGGTTCTGGGGCTTGAACTCGGGGGCTCACACTCTTGCTTGGCTTTTTTCTGTTTAAGGCTGGCGCTATACCACTTGAATTACATCTCCACTTCTGGCTGGCTTTTTGTAGGTTAATTGGAGATGAGTCTTATAGACTTTTCTGCTAGGGCTGGAAGCTGGGATCCTCAGATCTCAGCCTTCTGAGTAGCTAGAATTACAGGTATGTGCCACTAGTACATGGCTGATACAGTTTTTTTGAGATTGATTTTCCTGTATAGCCCAGGCTAGCCCAAAACTCACAATCCTACTCCCTCTGCCTCTTGAGTGCTGGAAATAAGGGTGTATACCATTATGTCCAGCTGTAAATTTGTTTTTGATATTACAATATATTAACGCAAGTCAGACAACTATTATGACATCCTTCTTCAGCAGGTGCTGGTCATCTAAACATTACTGAGTTCAAGGAGGGATGAGGGCCTAAGAATCAACAATATTAAAAATATATATATATATGGCTCACCCCATAATCTTAGCTACTTAGGAGACTAAGATCTGAGGATCTCTGTTCAAAGCTAGCCTGGGCAGGAAAGTCTATGAGACTCTCATTGCAAATTAAGCATCTAAAAAGATTGGAAGTGGAGGTATGGTTCAAGTGGTAGAGTGCTAGCCTCAAGAAAGAAAGCCCAGGGACAGAGCCAGGGCTCTGAGTTCAAGCCCCAGGTCTGGCACCAGAAACAACAACAACACACAAAAAAAGATTTGTGCATCACTTTATTTCTCTACCAGATGAAGAAGTTACTGTGGTTATGTTAAATATGAGATTTAGCCTCTTAAGAGCTTTTTTTTTTGTTGGCCTTGAGGCTTGAACTCGGCCTGAGTGCTGTCCCTCAAGGCGAGCCACTGGAGCCACAGCACCATGTCTAGTTTTCTGGTGGTTAATTGGAGAGTCTCACACTTTCCTGCCCAGGCTGGCTTTGAACCAAGATCCTCAGATCTCAGCCTCCCGAGTAGCTAGGATTACAGGCGCCCGGCCAAAGAACACCTTTCTTCATGGAGCACCCCAAAACAACTGCAGAGAGGCACGGCCCAGGACCCCCCCCCCCCCCCCCCCCGTACCCCACCAGCCACCAAAACTGGTGTTGACCTTGGCGTCCCAGCTGTCCCTGACCCAGCGAGATCTGTCTGCGGGGTGGAGGGGGGGGGGTGTCACCTTAAACTCGCACCACCTTAAAGAGCCAGCGGGCGGAGCCAGGCGGCGGTGTTGGTCACTGGCCCTCCACGGACTGCGAACCCCGCTGCCGACGGGCCATGGCCTTGCTCCGGGCCGCCACCTGGGGGCTGTTCCCCCGGAGGGGCTACTGCTCCCGGGGGTCGCAGGTTGGGCGGGTCCCGAGCTTCCCAGGGTCCTGAGATGCCTGACCCGCGGGGGTGGAGCCCCCCTTCCTGTGACGGGACACCGTCTCTCCCCTGCAGGGCCAGCTCAGCCCGAGCTTCGTGGAGGCTCTGAAGATAGTTGTGGGGGACCCCCACGTGTCCACCGCTGCCGCCGTCCGCGAGCACCATGGGCAAGACGAGTCTGTGCACAGGTACCGGGACCCGGGGCTGGGGGCGGGGAGGGCAGTCCTGGGCCGCGCCCCTCGGCAGCTGTTTTGGGGTGCTCCATGCAGAAAGGTGTTCGCCGGTGGCTCACGCCTGTCATCCCAGCTACTCAGGAGGCTGAGATCTGTCAGGATCGCGGGTCAAAGCCAGTCGGGGCAGGAAAGTCCGGGAAACCAGAGAACTGGAAGTGGCGCTGTGGCTCAAGCGGTGGAGCGGGCCTTGAGCTGAAGAGCTGCGGGACAGCGCCCAGCCCAGAGTTCAGGCGTTCTGTGCCCCTGCGGGGACCTGACCTGGGTACCGTCCCCTAGGTGCCAACCCCCCGACGCCGTGGTGTGGCCCCAGAGCGCGGAGCAGGTCAGCCGGCTGGCAGCCCTGTGCTACAGCCAGCGCGTGCCCATGGTCCCTTTCGGCACGGGCACCGGCCTGGAGGGGGGCGTCTGCGCCGTGCAGGTACTGTGGGGGGGACGGCGGGGGGGCGCCCGTCCCTCCTGAGGCCTGGGCTGGGACCCAGTCATCCCGACCCGCCTGCCCCCAGGGCGGTGTGTGCGTGAACCTCACCCACATGGACCGGATCACCGAGCTGAACCCAGAGGACTTCTCGGTGGTGGTGGAGCCCGGGGTCACCCGGAAGGCCCTCAACGCTCACCTGCGCGACACTGGCCTCTGGTTCCCCGTGGGTAGGCCGGCTACCTTTCCCTGCCCGTCTCCCCGTCCCCCGCACCCTCCCCGGGCTCGCTGGGGGCTGGGCTGGGCCCCGGGCTGCCCTCCCCAGCGGTCTGCCCTCCAGACCCAGGTGCAGATGCCTCTCTCTGCGGCATGGCTGCCACCGGAGCCTCGGGCACTAACGCCGTGCGCTATGGTACCATGCGGGACAACGTGCTCAACCTGGAGGTGGTGCTGCCTGATGGCCGGCTGCTCCACACTGCGGGGCAAGGGCGCCATTTCCGGTGAGTGCCCGCTGCCCTGGGCCGGCCTCCAAGAGCCCACTCCCGTATGGATGGGCCATACTTGCCAGGGGCCACTTTTGGTCCTGGCGTTTGCTCACCCCTCATAAGGCTGATAAGGAGCCTGGGCCAGTGCCTCTGGCCTATAATCCTAGCTACTCAGGAGGCCGAGTCTAAGGATCCCAGTTCAAAGCCAGCCCAGGCAGAAAGTCCATGAGACTCTTTATCTCCAATTAACCACCCAAAAGCTGAAAGTGGAGCCATGGCTCAAGTGGTAGAGCCTTTGCTAGCCTTGAACACACAACAACAACAACAAAAGGACAGCACCAGGCCTTGAGTTCAATCTGCAGGACAGACAGACAGACAGACAGACACACACACACACACACACACACACACACACACACACACACACACAGATTTAGATGGGGTGGACAGGGGCTGGGAAACAGCAAGTTCTATGATGGCAACTGGGGTCTGGGAAGGGCCAGCCCAGACATGGCACCTTGGGGGTCAAACCTCTGGGCAGTCATTTCCCAGGACTTGGGCCAGGGTACTCAGCTACCTTGTGTCCCTGGTGTGCAGGAAGAGTGCAGCTGGCTACAACCTCACAGGGCTCTTTGTGGGCTCTGAGGGGACCCTGGGCCTCATCACATCTGCCACCCTGCGCCTGCATCCTGCCCCTGAGGCCACAGTAGCCGCCACCTGTGCTTTCCCCAGTGTCCAGGCTGCAGTGGACAGCACTGTGCAGATCCTCCAGGCGGCAGTGCCTGTGGCCCGCATTGGTGAGTCAGGGGCTGGGCAGTGGAGGTGGGGTCCACAGAAGAGGCCCGTCTCAAGTCTCAAGGCCTGGCTTCATCTCGGCCATCCCTTTTCCGGGTCTCAGAGTTCCTGGATGATGTTGCAATGGATGCCTGCAACAGATACAGCAAACTGAACTATCCTGTGGCTCCCACACTCTTCCTGGAGTTCCACGGCTCCCAGCAGGCACTGGAAGAGCAACGGCAGCGGGCAGGTGTGCTGGAGAGGGTAGGGTTGTGCGGCCCACCTTAGTGTCAAGCCCCAGGTCAACCTGTCTCCTCCCACTGCAGAGGCGATCATTCAAGACAACGGAGGCTCCCAGTTCTCCTGGGCCCATGAGGCTGAGGCACGCAAACAGCTTTGGACAGCACGCCATAATATCTGGTATGCACTCCTGGCTGCGTCTCCTGGCTGCAAGGTAAGCCCGGGACTGGAATGAAGTGGGGGTCTGCACTTGGGCCATAAACCCTTTCCTCAACCCACCACCCTCCAGTATATATAGAACAGTGGGCTGAGGCCCCCTAGAACTAGGCTGGGCACCAGAATCCAGACTACAGATTGTCCTTACCCAGCTGCTTCTCAAATGCTGTCTAGAGAGAGATCAGAATTGTCCTAATGCTTGGGAGTCCTCACAGAAAGCCTCACTCTGGGCTCTCTTAGCAATTGGAAAGAAAGGGAAGGAATCTTAGTGGAAAAGAAGTAGTTCACACAACCTGGAAAGGAAGGCTGGACAGGAAAGCTGGACTCCAGGCAGGGCATGCTGATTCAGTAGTGTAGGGTGGAGGGAATTTGCACATGGTTGAGGCTGGGGATCCAGGGTAAGATTGAAGGCTTGGGCTAGCAAGGTATGGGGCACACACCCAGGCCAGTCATCTGGAGAAGAGCAGGCTGTTTACTTCTGTGAAATCAAGAGCTGAAGCTAGACTCTCCGTCCCATCCTTAACTTTGATCACAGTGATCCTTTAACTTCAGGCAGGCAATAGATGATGGGAAGAAACTCACTGGCCTGTCCTCTGACTCAGGGCTATTCCACGGACGTGTGTGTGCCCATTTCCCGGCTGCCTGAGATCCTGGTGCAGGCCAAGGAGGAGCTGAAAGTCTCAGGACTCACAGGTTCTGCCCACTCACTGTTGTACTGAGGGAAGCACTAGAGCTGCCGAGTGCCTGGGCCAATGGCAGCTCTATTCTCTGGGCCCCCAGGAGCCATTCTTGGGCATGTGGGTGATGGCAACTTCCACTGCATCCTGATGATCCACCCAGATGATGCTGAGGAGCTCCATCGAGTCAAAGTCTTTGCCGAAGGACTGGGCAGGTAGGAGCTGAGCTGGGGAAGGAGAACGGAGGGAAGGCAAAGGGAGTCGGAGACGAGGTCGCTGAGAGCCCCCTCTCATGGCATTCCAGGAGGGCACTGGCACTCCACGGGACGTGCACTGGGGAGCATGGCATTGGCATGGGCAAGCGGCAGCTGCTTCAGGAAGAAGTTGGTGCTGTGGCCCTGGAGACCATGCGGCAGCTCAAGGTCACCCTGGACCCCCTCGGCCTCATGAACCCAGGCAAGGTGCTGTGAGAAGCTTCAAGTGCTTGGCCTACAAGCCTCCAGACCACAGAGCCCTTGTTCTGGAAGTTTCCTTTAAGCCTCCAATTCTGCAAAGGATGGACAGTGGGTATGCTGTCAGCTGATGTTGTATAGCAAGGGCCTAAAGTCAGAGGGAGACAAAGTGAGCCCCTCCCCACTCCTCTTGCTGCCCTCAGACATCTTTGGTTCAGTGGATGGCCGAGGATGCTTAACTGTTTTTTTTTTGCCTGTACTAAGGCTTGAACTCAGGGCCTGGGTACTGTCCCTGAGCTTTTTCCCTCAAGGTTAGCATTTTATCCCTTAAGCCACAGCTTCACTTCTGGCTTTTTGGTGATTTATTGAAATCTCACTGACTTTGCTGCCTTTATGATGCTCAGATCTCAGCCTCCTGAGTAGCTCTGATTACAGGTGTGAGCCACTGACACCCAGCTCCTCTCTGCTCTTACATATCCCGTCCTGGCTTGGAGGGATGTCATGGTCACCTGAAGACTAAGATCACACCCCTCTACAGCGGCCTCCCCACCACTAGGCCCAGGATCCTTCATCCTACACTGGACAGGAATACTCCTTTCCTGGAATGAGGAGCTCTTCCTTTCCAGTTAGTTATTCTTCTTGTTTCCGCCTCTCCCCCCCCCCCCCCCCAGGTTAATCTGTACTCTACTTGTCATGTCTGGGGAGCAGTAGGTAGCACCTACATAGCCACTCTCCTCTTCAGATACTGACTTTTGGCCACTGTTTTGAGCCTTGTCCTCTGACTTACAGAAGCTTGGGGAAGATGGTGGTCTCAGGCTGAACCCCTGCCCTTGGTGGGGTTTTGTTGGTTGGTTGTTTTTTGGCAGCCTCCCCACGAGGCCTTAGAATATCACACACATTCTGGAAGCTGTTGCTTCATTAGAAATAGAAATGAGATCCTCATCCTTGTACCACACCTCTCCACGTTGCAATGGATGGCATTACCAGCTTTTGCCCTCAAAGTTAAGTTCTGTCCACCATGCAGCCTGCCTGTCTCAGGATCCCCCAAGTCAGAGCCCATCTAGAGTAACTTGGCAGTTGTTTCTATTATGCCCACAAGAGGGCGCCTGACACCATCTGCTCTGGGCCACAGCTGCCCAAAGCTCTTCTGTCTACATCGTGTAACTCCAATCCCTAGTCTTCTCACCTCCCAGGATGGGGGTGCATGGCCAGCTTCTAAGTCCCCCACCCCTTGCAGGTCCCAGGAGCTCACAGAGCTGTTCATCTCTCCCACCCTGGGCCTCTGGCCCCCTAAGGAAAGGGGCTAGGCAAGGGATGCGGGAGCCAGAGCAAGTGAGCAGCAGCAGCCTCCAGATTCTGGAAAGCCCAGGCTTTCTCTAGAATCCCCTCCCCACTCTTCCCCTTTGGCTCTGAGGGGAGGCAGCTTCCTGTGGCCTTCTCAATCCAACTTCAGTTCCTGGGATCCCACCTCTGGGTGCTCTCAGACAACAGTGACAGTGACCTGTGCTTGGGGCTGGGATATACCAAGGATTTTGGTGGCAATCATCAGCCCTCTCCCAAGCCACTGCAGGAAGTGAACAATCCAACTATTGATCCAGCCTCACCCTGTAAACAGCCCCCTTCCCCTTCCAAGCATAGTGTAGCCCCTTCCCCGGGCCACCATGGCAACTGAGCAGAGGCTGTCCCAATTTGATGTGCCTTCCAGTACCTGGCAGCTAGAATTCGCTCAGAAAATGCCATTTCCTAACAGTTTCTTTTATTAAGAAAAATTCTAAACATACAGAACATTTGGAATAACCAGCACATTGTTCTGTGAAGGTTCAACAGATATTTTTTGCCTTACTTGCTTTGTGCGTTGTTTGGGGGGAAACAAACTGGGATTCAGATTATACATGTCTCAAAATCATTCACTATCTCCTTAGAATAAGAGCATTCTTCTATGACTTTCCACACTATTATAAATGGCTGTTACATGAACGGTTTCCAGGAGGGCTTGTGTCCAGGAAAGCATGCTGGGCCCCCTGGTGGAGGAGCTGAACCCACCTTTGTCTCTCCGCGCTCACAAAGGTGGGGGAGGGGAGGGAACACAAGATTCTGGAGAGATGCTTTCTGGATGGAGTGACAGATACCAGCTCCACTTGGGAAGCCCAGACAAACCCTGTCCCACCCCCATACCAGCACTTGGCAACCTGGATACGAACTCAGAAGACAGCAACCAGCAGAGGGCTGTCGTGTGCCAGGTGGGAGCTGAAGTCCCCGGGGGTGGAGATGAACACTGTCCCTGAGAGCCTGGAATAGCACCCAGTGTGGGCCTCAGCTTTGTCCCACCCAGCTCCCAATCACTGGGCTCAACCATGGCGCTGCCAGGTCCTTGCTACCAAGGTGGGCGCACACAGCCTCGGATTCCAGGCCCAGGGTCAGACAAGGAGATTTCCTTCAGAGCTGGGCCCTGCCCCGCCAGTCTTGCTGGTGGAATTAAATATAGAACAGGGAGACACAGTTGCTAGGCAGAAGCAGGAGTTGCTGTGAATAGAACAGTGCCCTTTGCAGTGACAAAGCTCCAAGGAAGCCCGCTGCACATGTGCCAGGTCTTCAGGGCCAATCTTGACCTTCATGATGGCCTCTGGGTTGCATGATTTTGTCCCCACTTCACACACGTGGAATCTGAAAGCAGATGAATAAAGCTGTACCCCCCGGGGATCATTCCTTCTTCCAAGCAGAGAGTCCACACGCAGAGGGGCCCATGTTCTGACAGCAGTGTTCCTGGGTTTCTACTTCAGGCAGGTCCGACACCCAGGCCCCCAAACCTGTTTCTTCAGTTCTTTGACCATGTCTCCGGCCTTGCCCACTGGCTTGCAATGAATGCCCTTGTACAGAGTAAGTGAGGTGGGAAAGAGACTCAAGATCCAGAGGCCCTGGTGGCTCAGTCCAGACTTGTGGGTCTGGTGGACTTGGGCCCCGAGGCCACAGCAGAAGCAGGCCTGGGAAGGGTCAGGCTAGAGGTGTGGAGTCTTCTCCCTTCAGCTTTCCTTGGCTGGTTCTGTAGGAGGCCCTAGAATGCAGCTTCTGGAGCTTGGCTCTGAGACAGGCCAGGCATGTACTGCTACCCCCTGCCCTGAGCTTCTGGCCCAGGCTGCTGTTTGCCAACTTTTGAGAGCTTGAGTAGCTGGTTCTGGTTCAAGGGCTCTGAGCTGGCTCAGCTCCAAACCCAGGCCTCTTCCTAGGCCTCAGAGAAGCATGCCGCCCATGAGTCAGCACTTAGATGAGAAGGCCTGACAGAGCAACAGGCAGGCAGAGCAGAACATGGCACAGGAAGCAGAGGCTTCAAGAGAGGGGCTGTGCTGGCACCTGGTGTGTGTGTGGGGAACCCACATTCTCCAGTGGTGGCAAGTTCTTTGCCCTGCAGATCTCTCCAGAAAAGTTCCATCATGATCACTCCACAGATGATGGCAAGTGGCTTCCACAATGCTTAAGTCAGCATGTAGGATGCACACCTGAACCACCGCTTCCTTCTGCCCAGGTACGGCTGGATGAGCGGTACTGCTGCACCTTCCAGGCAGCTGAAAAGATGCTAAGGAGGTAGGTGTGTGGGGGGGAGGGAGCATGGGCCTTGCCCCCCATTTTTCACTTGTATAGCAGTACTACATTAAAATAAAATCACACAGTGCATCTTTTGTTAGACATTATTTTAATACCATATCAAAACACCTTGACTAATGAAGAAAGGTTTTCTCCCAAGCTTTGAACATTTTTTTTTAACATTTTATAATAAGTTTTTTTTTGTGTTTTAATATATAAATACAGAAACCTATCTTGTATGGGCTGATGCCACGTATGAACATCAATGGCTAGAATGTTCTCAGAGAGCCTGAAAACGGGTAGTGGTACATGTTTCTTTAGTAAAGTCTTTTGCTTGTCTGTTTTAAGTTTTCTGGGGGGGGGGGGGGAATCTGTGGGGGGGGGGGAAATCTGTAAGGACCTAAGAAGAATGTTCAGACATTTTTGCAGTACACTTGTGATTGTTAAATCCTCTGAACTGACCGGAACCAGGAGGCAAGAAAGGGGAAGACGTGGGAAGGGGGCGGGAGAAAATCCTGGCTGGTCAGCTGTTGGTTCTGTTTTTGGCAATGAAATCATGTGGCTATCAGGATTCTTAGGGGAGAAAGTGCAAAACTAAGCCAGAAAACAAATATGGAAAAACAAAACCAAAAAACAACCCCAAACTCTCAAGGTAGAGAGGTTGGTGATGCAGAGAGCCAAGTGGGGCGCTGGGCAAAGGAAGGGACTGTGCCGCCTGCCGTCGGGCTGGCAGCGAGGACATGGCTATGTGTGGTCTGTCACTGAGTGGGTTACAGCTGGGCAGCAAACAGCAATCTGTAAACATCACGAGGGAAAACACCAGTCGACACTAGACTTTTTTTTATATAATTTTTTTTTTTTGTAAACACTTTGAAGACAGACCCACACACTTTTCAAAGGTGAAAAAAGAAAATGCCCTTTTCCCTCCTGGGCGGAGGGTGAGGGGAAGGATAGCAGTAGATTCACTCTTCTCTCAGACTCGCTCTCATCTGACTGGGTGTCCTCGAGGAGGAAGGAGGACCGATTTCTGGAAGTCAGTGCAGAAGGGGTGCCCTGTTCCTTCTGGGGGTCCCAAGCTCAGCTCTGTCCAGTGTCCGAGGAGCCTCCTCCCAGGAACAGGGGCTGTCTGTCCCTGTATGAGTCAGAAGAAGTCAGCTGTGCTCCGTCTGGCTGAGGCCACTGCTGCATCCCTTGGTGGCAGCAGCACGTCCCCCCGAGGGCAGGCTGGCGGGGTGTCTGTGGTCCCCCCGAGGGCAGGCTGGCGGGGTGTCTGTGGTTCGGTCCAGGCAGGTCCCCCAGAAGCCAAGCATCATGCTGGGAATTTGGCCCGCGCCATGCGCCAGGCTCCACTCCCTCTGCCTCACTCGCGCCCTTGCTTTTTCTTCTCCCCATGCCATCAGATTTTGAGGTGAAGGTAAAAAGAGCAAGTGTCCCCGGTTTGTCTGACATCATCAGCTGTTCTGGGCATTTACTTGGAATAAATAAAATAAACCTAACAAAAGAAAACAAAATAGAGAGAGCAGAAAGAAAACAGGCCCCAAACCCTTTGGTTGTGAGATAAGGAGATAGAAATAAGCTTTTTTTTTCCCTTTCCTGGAGCTTGTGTTTGTTTAAACCAGAAAAAGAAAACGTTAGCCCAGAACTTAGAAGGAACAGGTAGGGCGAGGGGCAGGAGAGTGCAGCCAGCAGTAAAAGTGCCCTGGGAAGAAATGGTGGGGTTGGGAGGAGGGTGTGGCCTGGTCTGCTGCAATCAGGGCCCTGTCCTATGGGACAGAGGGGCCAAGTCTGGCTTGGAGGCCTGAGAGTCCTCTGCAAGCGGAGTGAGGGAGGCGGCCTGCAGGGGAAAAAGCAGCTGTGAAATGAGTGCTGGCCAGCCTGTGTCGGACAACACACAGATCCCACAGGCTATTCAATGAGTGCATGTCCGTAAGGCGACAGGAAATGATCCAGAGAAGCAGACTCTGAGAGGTGAGGGAGAACGAGCCTATCTGGCTGTAAACCCAATGCCCAGCTAAAGGCTCATCTGCTTCTCCCCAAGCTTCCTTAGGGAGATTTGCTTTAGATGTTTGGATACACTGGTCTTTCCCCAACTAATTCCATCTCTTCTGCGGGCATGTTTATCCTATCACAGAAGATCTTTCCACTTCTGGATATAAATCACTGTCCTTCCCTCTGCTCTTCCTGCTTTCCCTCAGAGAAGCACGTCAGAGCAGCCCCGCTTCCCCACCAGCAGGCCTTCAGCAACTTGACCCCGAGCCTGAGTCTGCTCAGGTATGGGCTCACCTTTGAGAGGAGTCGGCAAGCAAGCCTGGCAGGGTCAGTCCGCAGGGTGTTCCGGACAAGATCTGTTCACTTCAAACCATGAGTCTATGCAGCTGTGGGTCAGAAGGGGTGCCAGAGGAACTACTTTAGCTCCTGCCATTGGGACTCTCCAGTGTCAGACTTGGGAGAGGGTTTTCAAAGTCTCTCCTGAAAGGACCCCAGGGGAAAACCACCCTGCCCGCTTTCTGCAGCAGGGAGAAGGGACTGGGCAGGGGGGAGGGCGGCCGGTACAGGCTCAGGGGGATCTGGCACTGTAGGAAGGATGAGTAGTAGCCTTGAGGTCCTTGTGCAGGAAGCTAACCAGTCGCTACTAGGGAGAAGGCGAGGGAGCTGGTGAGCGCTTGGGAGGCTGGTTTGATTCCCGGCTGTGGGGTCCTATGAAAGCCTCCTCCTGGGTTAAGAGAGCAGCTAGATGGCTCCCTTCCCAGGGCACGCCTTCCAAGTCTACCACGCTTGGCTACGAAGGTGAAAGGTGCCCAGGCCCCCGAGCTCTGACATTGCTGCGTAAGTGAGCCAAGGGCGACTCCCTAGTGTTTGAAGACTGTCTGCACCAGAGAAAGAACAGTAATTGCCCCAAGACAGAGACCAGACATCTGGTAAACTAACATCTGGGCATTTTCAAACATCAACTCAGATCATCTGCATATGTTGCCTCAGGGCCAAGGTATTTTTTTTCTCCTATCTCTGGTTAGTGCCCCCCCGCCCCCAGGACACCTCCAGACTAAGAATCAGTTCTCTAGACCAGTTGTGCCCAGGCACGGCCACTGTCCTGTAGACCAGTGACCCCAGGTTGCGCTGGGGAAAGCCTGTGGTGCCAGGCAGCAGTGCTGAGCTTGAGGAGGAGAGAGCAGGTGGTGGCCACGGGAGCACAGAGTGTCCTCCTGTCCGGGCAAGGAGGTGTCTTCTTTCCAGTTGGGAACAAGAACAAGGTTCCTCCTGGAGGCCGAGGACAAATCTTGGCCCTGCTAATTATAGCAGTGTGTGCCCACAGGTAGCGGCTCTTGCTGCCTCTTGCTCCTCCGGGGAGAAGGGCAAACAAGACAGCAAGGACACCCTCCATGTTGCCTCTCTTACCCTTTGGAGCAAGGGGCTCATGGAGGAAGAACAGCCAAGCTCCAGGTGGGATCCTGAGTACCTCCGACCTGTGGGGCTCCATGAAGCAGAGCTGGACCTCTGGCTTCACCTATGTCTTGCCCTTGGGATGCTTAAACCCCCTGTCAGCACAGTTGGATATACTGTGCCCCTAAGAGGCCATCCTATGGCCAAAGGAGACCAGATGGCTGGCGCCGGAGGTCTGTCCTTAGGAGGTGCCACCCCGCCAGGCCCTCGTACCTTTTGTGATAGATGCACAGGCAGGGCAGTCTGGCTATCGTGTCCCCCTGAAGCAGCTCCTCCAGGCAGATCACACATTCACCCGCATCTTTAGTCAGCACATCATCTGCAAGGGAGACAGGGAAAGCGGACTAGGCAGGAGGGGACACAGAGCAGACACAGGTCTAGGAACTAGGTGGATGACATGGAAGCCTGAAAAAGACCTTCACCTTAAGACCCTTTGGCTTTACCCCATGGAGTCAAGATACATGTACCCCACATGGGACCCAAAAAAGGCAGCATGATACAAGCAGTTTTCTTCATGTAGACTTTCCCCTAAATATATACATATACCAGGAACACTGCTCGAGGCAAGAGCAGACTGCAACTTTCATTTTACTCCGAAATGCACTGAAAGGGCACGAGGGGTCTCTTGGTAGATGGCATGAGGTTGCCGGTGGTGGATATGTAGATGTTTACCGTACGTTGCTTTCAATATTGCTTTACTTTTCATGATCAAATATAGAAGCAGGAGGAAAGCTGGCCTAGTTTTGAGAGCGAAGTCAACCTATAGACATTCTTAGCCATTTCGTCCTTGCTCTCAGTCTTGGGCATCTCACCCTGACAGGCTGCAGCCCGTGTGCTCTTTCCTGCACCCCTTGGGACTCAGAGCGCAGTGGCATCATTGACAGGGAACAGCTTCCTGTGCGGCAGGGGAGCCGAGTTTCCCTCGCTTTCCTCTTACAAATGGGTAAGGCAGCTCTGAGCCTCTGACATGTTAGACTCCTCTGGATCCAAACAGCACAGCCTCTCTGACCGGCTGTGTTCATTCCTCATAGGCTATCTATCCGGCCACAACCCCCATGGCCTCCAGAGGCGACAGATTTGGGGACAGGGGAGGCAGAGATGGAGATTCAGCTGAAGGGCTTTCTTCCTCAGCAGGACTAGACCTAAGTCTCCTCTCTCTTCACAATGCAGGGAGAGGCAGGGGACAAAAGGGTGAGTCATTTTCCTAGAAGTTCCAGGCCTTCAAGACTTGTGCACCTGTCAGTTACACAGCCTTTCCTAGTCATTTCACGAGTGATTTTCTGTGCTTTCCCAAGCAGCCTGGGTCAGGATGCTGATGGGAAGAAGTGTGCAGCTGCCCTGCCATGAGGGGGGGGCACCATCCACTGGGAATGAGGCTGCAGAAGGCCACATGGAGGCTCCCCGGTATAGTGGGAGAGACTTGGAGTTGGACCACGTGAGGGAACCGACAATGCCCACATCTAGCCCAGCACCCAGGAAGCAGCATTCTTCCACCACAAAAGGCTTACAAGAGGTGGGCTGGGTGTGAGCTGAGTAAAACTTCCTGTCCCAGAGCTCTGGGAATCAGCAGTTCCCAGGTATCTGGGGGCTAGACATGAAGTCTGGCTATGCATCAGACTTCCGCCCTCGTCTAATATGGGCGCGGGGCCCACTGCTAGAAGGAAGCTCTGGAGGGGTGAAGGAGAAATACAAAGTCAAGGACTCTGAGCCAGCACATGTTGAGGCCCCACTGCAGATGGATTCAAGCACCCTTTGGCAAGCTCGGAACCCAGGATGGGGGGGGGGGTTCTCAATAAATGCTGGATAATGAGAAATGCAGGAACAAAGTAGATCAAAGTAGTCTTCGGGTCTGCTTTTCCTTGCTGCTTATCAAGCTGCTTCCAATCTTCTTGATACTATGTGCAAAGACAATCAATGTCTGCCCAGAGGAGGGGCTGGCCTGGCTTGGGGTATGTGTATGTGCATATGCAAACTAGATGGTGCCACTGTCTGTCCCTCTAGCCAGACTACGGACCAATCAGACAGCAGGCAAAGCCCTCTGGACTCATTCAAGTGTGATGTTGGGATGAGCTGAGGTGGAGGTGAGGGCGTACTTCTACAGTCTACTGCTATGGTCAGAAGAGGTATAGCGTCCCCATTTCTCTGGGCCAGCTATATGCCAAGAACTTCACATGTTCCAGGAAATCCTAAAAATCCAGAGTGGGGCCTTTGGGTAAACTCATGTAGCTGCTAAGTGGCCAAGACTCCTTCCAGACAGACTCCTTGCCTACTTCTTTCACTTCTCTTCTTACTTTGGGGCTGGAAACCACCACACATCTCACAGATTGCTTCAAATGTTCCCTTTTTGTGAAGCGCGCAGGGCTGTGGGGGTGGAGGTGGAGGTACCCAGATGCTGAGTGGATAAGGCAGCCTGAGAAGCAGTTTGGCATGCCAGGGCATGGTTGCCCCAAGAGAGCTCATATAACGAATTCCCCTAGGGACTTGCAGGGCTGCCAGTAGCTCAGGACTCGAGGGGAAGCACCCAAAGACACGCTTCTACTAACTGGCTGGGAGGGAAGTCTGACGGCCAGCTCTGAGTCGGCAGTGAAGTGTGGGAACATACACATTCATTCCCCTCGGGCCCCGTGGCAATAAAGAGAAGATAGAAGCCAGAGGAAGAGAGAACCCCAAGCACACAATGGAGTCCCTGGCCTCATTGCCAACTTAGGTGCAAGAGAGGAGTGCCGCTTCAGCAAGTACAAAGCTGCTGGCATCTGCTGGGGGACAGGACAAGCCAGCAATACTAGTGCCAGATTTTGTGGCTTCCTCCTTAGGAAAGCTGGGGAGCTCTACTCTCCAGACAAAGGAGAGATCCTAAGCAGAGGGTATCCCCTGCCAGCTGTAACCCATCCCAACATCCTAAGACTGTGATGTGCAATCTAATTGTTTTGTGGAGCTGGGCTATAAGGACAGCCCAGGGGTCTGCCAACTGAAGCATGGACCTGGGTTGTCCAACTCCCTACAGCTCCCCTAGTGCCCTCTCCTCTGGCCACAGTTTCTGGTTTTACCACTGGCACTGAGTCCCTGTAGGCCTCCCTCCCACTCCTCACACCCAGTGGTGGCTAATCTGGCAATAAGTACAGTTGGGTCAGCAGTGGCTAGGAACCCTGGGTAAGGACCCCCTCCCTGTTGCTCCCCTCACCCTTAGTAGAGGGAGACTTAGGACAGACACCTCCACAGCTGCCAGACTCCAGCCACTGCTCCAGCAGCTAACAATAGCTCTGGGCAAAGCCCCACTTGGGGCTGGGCCAACTCTCCAGCCAAGATTCAGCTACCCAGGCCTGAGAAAGGGAGGGCACATCCATCCCAACCATGAAAGACACAGGACTTCTACAGGAGGACCTGTTTGTTTGTCCAGGTGTCTGGCTCAGGGTGGACTGGCTCTACCAGGAGGCTTTTTGTAGTTAAGGAGGCCAGGTTCCCTTTCCTTTAAAGCTTATAGAACATTTAGAATTTCCAGAACCCTGAAGATGAGGCAGTTACCTTTGGCACAGAGGAGAAGGAGGGCAACTTGAGTCAAGAAGTGAGACATGAACCTGTACTCTAGAACAGAGATAAGGGGGTGGGGGTATCCTGAAGCAGAAAACATCAGCCCCACCAGATTCTCCCAGTTCAGAGGAGTCTTGGAACAGCACCCCTAAACTTTCTGATAACCCCATAGTGTCAGAAGTCTCTTCTGACAGAACAAAGATTAGATCTCCACCCCAGGACTCTGCTAAGTCAAGTAATTGGGCAGTCAGAATTTATGTACATATTTTTCAAGGCTAATTCCATGAATCTTAGGGCCACAGAGATGCTGAACAGGGAGAGTTGGTAAAAGGCCCATGGAAGCTATCCACCCATTTACCCAGAGGGCGCCCATCTCCTTTCCTCTCTCCTGCACAAGCACAGCACCCTCACCTTCAGAAGTCCTAGGTTCAGGGCTGCCAGGAAGGCCAGAAGGATAAGGGGTCTAAAAGTTAAGTTCTTTGGGTCTAACTCTCCCCTCCTCCCCCCATATCCACAAGCCTCCTAGCCAGGTATGTGTCTGGGAGTGTACATGCTCTGGTTGCATTGGCTGAGCCAGTTAAACCGGTCTTGCTTTTTCTAAGTAAAGAAAAAAAATCTGGCAGGCAGCTACTGGAGGCCTTCCAACCTTCTGCTCAGGCCAGCCCTTATAATAAGAAAAATACTACTTTCTATCTGCCTCATTTAGGAATTTTCTACTTTTTTTCTTTGATGGTTAACTAAATTTCAACTTATTCAACCATTACACATTTTCTAAAATTTTCTCCAATTGGTGCCAACAATTGTGAAAAAGGTATGTGTGTGTGTGCACACGTGCATGTGTATGTACACATGCACAGGGACCAAAAGTTACAGTGACTGTTTTTTTAATGGTGCTGGAATTGAGCCCCCTGGGCATTCTAGGCAGGTTCTCTACTATGAGCTACATCCTCAGCCTTCAAGTGACTGACTTCACGAGAAAACAGAACCTCCCCAACATCTGAGTGGGCTTCACCTTGTCCTCTTTCCAGAAAGAGTCTGAGAGCTCACACCTCAGAGATTTCATTAACTTTCCTTAAGGCCTTTGTTAAGGTTTTTTTTTCCCCTTTAAGTACAAAAGTAATATGAAGCCCACGATGTTGGGATCTTGAGGAATTTGGGTAGAACATGTTACTAACAAAATCAAAACAAACCCCGATTACCTTTATAATAACAATAAAAAATAAAAAGGAGAAGACTCGAAAAACAAAATAAACCTAGATCTCCTGACTTGGAAGCTTTGGCCTGTGACCCAGAGGGTCTTGTGCTCTATCTGAACTAGAACAGACCCTGGATATGCCTGGAAGACTCCACTCCACAGGAGTGTATCCTCCTACCAGCTGGCAAATGCTGTCCTGTTACTAGGAAGGTTTAGGTATCTTTAGACAAAAATGAAAACTAGTTATGAGGAGTTCACACCACCAAAGCCTCCTTTCCATATGAATCATGTGAACAGAGGGGCCAGACATTGATTCTAAAGGCACTTTAAGACACACTTCACCCACAACAAAACTGGAGATGAGTAGCCTCTCTGCTTCTGGTGGTAAAGACTGGCCTTTGAAGCTGGGTGCCAGTGGCTCATGCCTGTAATCCTAGCTTCTCAGGAGGCTGAGATCTGAGGATTGTGGCTCAAAGCTAGCCCAGGCAGGAAACTCCATGAGACTCATATATTCAAGAAACTACTCAAAAAAGCTGGAAGTAGTGCTGTGGCTCAAGTGGTAGAGCACCTGCCTTGAGCAAAAGAAGCTCTGAGACAGTGCCCAGGCCCAGAGTTCAAGCCCCAGGACAGGCAAAAACAAAAAATAAAAGAAAAACCCAAGACTGGTCTTTGCTAGAACCTAGAACACCTCACTCCTTTTCAAGCAGAGGTTGAGGGGAAAATGAGAAACAATTCAACAATAGTAATGGCTGTATCTCAGATAGCCAGCCTGCCCTTCCTCTACAGGACCCTCACCCAGCCTGCTGGTAGGGAGGCTCAGCAGCTCCAGACACACAAGTGTTGATACGGAAGAGGACCCGGGGACACTTTGGGCTGTCATGGGAAGTTCTCTGGGAAAAGAGCTGGAGACCTTCACCTTTCCCATTCTGTACATCGGTGTGGGTAACTCCTGGCCCAGGGTGGCCCTGAGGTTACTTTGTCCCCCCCCAGCAGCTCCTGTAAATTTCTCTCCGATGACTCCAAGAGCTAAGTTCTCTCAGGCCAAGTCCCCTCTGAAGCTCCTTTGTGCTCTTATGACAGCAAAGGCAGTGTCTACAGAGAGCTCTCCCCAGCAACCCAGAGGACAAAAAGGGCCTCAAAGTCTCAACACATTGAGGGCTGACGTGAATACAGCATTGGAGGCTATGGTTGGATGGCTGTGAGACACCAGGGAGACTTCTCTCTCTCCATGGTCCCAAGAAGAGACGGTCAGTGGGGACAATGATCATGTGATCCCCAGGGTCATGTAACAGCAAGTCCAGAGGCATGGCAGCCATCAATCCCCCCCTCCCCTCCCCCCCCCCCCCCCCCCCCCCCGGGAAAAGAGAAAAGGCTGCCTTCTGGCGAGGAAAGGAGATTCTGGACACCAGGTAGGATGTAACAGGAAAAGCATCACTGGAATACAGACAGGGCCATGTAAGCCCTATAGCTGCCCAACCTGAGCAAAGGTTATCAGACAGTATGTACCAGTATAAGTAGGTAGTTGACTTTTGGCAACTAGAATCTTTTAGCCAAGAAAGTAAGGAGGGGATTCAAAAATATGAAAGGAGCATCTCTAGTCTAAAACACTTCAAAATCAAAATTATTTTTTTGGTGTTGGGGATCAAATCCAGGGTCTTGCACACACTACGTAAGCACTCTACTACTAAGCTATGCTTCTGGCCCCTGAAATTTTTTGAGTGGTAACATGACATTCAAAGAGTGTCAGATTTTGGGTTTTCAATTCTAGAATTAGATGCTTATCTGGTAATACCTATGCGAATGTTCTACAATCATTACACCTCTGGTTCCAAGCATTTCAGATATGGGATACTTCATCTGTAGTAGGGTATGTTTTTAAGAGAACCAAGAGGATCAGACTTGTCAAATCCCAGGATCATCCTGGAATCAGAAATCTTCCTAGTCTGTGTGTGGAAAGGACACATACAATGTCATGAGAGTGTCCTCCAGGAAGTCTGTCATAAGATGGGGGCAGGAAATAAGTCCTCAGTCTCTTGGAAGTCTTTTCCTAGGTCCCACTCTGACTTTAATTCAAGAAGCTGGGCCTATACTGAGGGTAGGAGAGCACCCCCTCCGATCCATAGCCTGTTCTTTTAGAAGATGTAGTTCTTTGACAAATGTAGCTTGAAGTCTAAACATCTAAGAACCTAAGAATGGGAAACTAATGACCCCAGCAGCCTACTGATGGCCTTGCCTGACCTAGGACAGCTGTCCCTTCATAAGCACTGATGGCCAGGCTCTAAAGGGTTTTATCCATAGGGATTGCCATTCCCACTTTGTGGATCAGAAAACAGGCTCTACTAAGGTTAGTAACTGTTCTAAGATTATAGTCAATGAGTGGTAGAGGAAGGTTTTGAACTTAGATCAGTGGACTCCTAAATCCTTGCTCAAAGGACACCAGTTAGAGGCTGGGAATGTGGCTTAGTGGTGCTTGCCTAAGGGTTCTGGGTTCGATTCCTCAGCCATAAGTGGCGCTGTGGCTCAAGTGGTAGCCTTGAGCTAATGAAGCTCAAGGACAGTGCCTAGGCCCTGAGTTCAAGCCCCAGAACTGGCAAAAAAAAAAAAAAAGGTAGAAGCTGACATTCATTTTCTCCTCAGAGGGACCATATTAGGGTGATCTGAGTGTCACAAAATCCCCAGGCCCTACCCTCTGCTGTAGTCAAGGCTCAGGTCTGAGGCAGCCTCCAGTCCCTAGTCCCTAAAGGGTAAGATGGACTGAACTCCATCCCTCGAATTCTGTCATGGAATTGTAGAGCAAAGAGGGTCTGGAGTGGTGTGGGAGAAGGTACTTCCTCCTGGGCCCCTCTGCCAGCTCACAGGGTTAGTTTCGCTATCTTGGGCCTACTGTAGTAGCAGAAGAGGCAATGGGCATCTCCAAACTATAGTCCATGAAATGGACTGTAGGAGAGGTTTGGGCAGGGACTCAGTAGTAGAGAGAATTCCCATCTCTGTGGACATGATCCTTGGTCCACATCTCTGCTAATTTGACTTGTGCTCCCAGAATCCCTAGAATAGCAGGTTCCGTCGCACTACACAGACACTTCTGATGGAAGGTGGCTGATACTGTAGTGCCCTGTCCTGCCCCCAGCTGAAGGGGTCGTGGCCCCCCCCCCCCCCCCAGCTGGTTCCCTTGACTGATACAGGAGGCTGGTGAGGCCCAGCCCTTACCATTGTAGGAGAGGCGAGGTTTGCTCAGACACATTATAAAGTGCATTTCCATCTCATCAGAAGCCACAGACTTGGAGCAAATGGGGCACTTGAAACCTGAAAGAGAGGAAAATGGTAAATATCTTCTCCAAATCCAAATATCCACCATAAATATCGAACACTCTGTGATGACCATGTGTGGAGTCAGCCACTGTACACAATGGCAACGTGAACGGACCTAGACCTGACTTTTCTTCATAAGTCCTTGAGGCTTTGTTTGCATTTGGGGGACAGCTTTCACTAAGGCTTTCCTTATCACATACCTCTGGTAATCCCTTTAGAGGTCACTGATACCTGACATGAGTTTTTCAGTCCTGAGGCTTGAACTCAGGGCCTGTGCACTATCCTTAAGGCCGAGCTCTACCACTTGAGCCACAGCTCTACTTCCAGCTTCTTTGGTAGTTGATTAGAGACAAGAGTCTCATCCACCAACCCAGTAAGTACCTTCATCCCTCACCCAAGGGCTATGGCAGCTGTCTTTGAGAAGTGTTAAGAGCAGTTGGTGGCCCTCCAGAGTGCTCCCAAAAGTCACTACGTGGCCCTCCAGAGTGCTCCCAAAAGTCACTATGTGAAACAGCTGATTCAAGGTGCCAGGTAAACAGAGCACAAGGTCTCATGATCTGCCATTTTATCCCCCAAAAGGTTCGGACTCATGTACCCAAAGAGTTTCATCAGCACTGTATCAGGACTAGTGATTCTGACTGAAAAATTTCTGAGTTGAAATCTATTAAGCAAACCTAATCCCTTGATCTATTAAAATATATATATGCATATATATAAACACAAAATGAACTAGTATCAATTTTTTCCATTTTGTTTTTATTGAGATGATTTTTCAAATAAATCAATTCTTTTCCATATAAAGTCTACCCAAAAGATCTATTGCTGTTAAAAAGTTATTGATTTGTCTATATCACTTTGTACATATCACAGCTCTTTCTCTTGTGGCAATGATTTTTACTTTCCTGGTCTGTACTTCCTAACACCCAGCGACTGCTGAGCAGATTTCACTCCTTAAATTGTCCGTCAAGTTTTCTAGACACAGTTTTATTTGACAATAGTAATGACGGTCCATAACATTTCTTAATGAACAGATAAATGGCCAAGTGTTCAGGGGCCACTGGTGCCACTCTGGGTACAGAAGCATTCACACCTTCCCCAGTATCTCGCATGTGGCTGCCTGCTAATCTGTATGGAAAGCTGTGGCTGGATGACTTAAAGTTTTTAAATTCTTTTTCTCAATGATATTGCTTTAAACTATAGGGCAAACACATAAGACATAGGACCTGTTTAAAGACAGATGCTCCATGGCATTGTCCCTACTCCCTCCTAACCCTTTCCTGAAAGATTCTCGGCACTCTGAACATCCCAACTGGAAAGTCTTGGAAATGTCCCAACTCTGGAAACCAGGAAATCAAAATCTTTTTTTTTTTTTTTTCTGCCAGTCTTGGGGCTTGAACTCAGGGCCTAGGCACTGTCCCTGAGCTTCTTTTGCTCAAGGCTAACACTATGCCACTTCAGCCACAGTACTACTTCCAGCTTTTTCTGCTTATGTAGTACTGAGGAATCAAACCCAGGGCTTCATGCGTACTAGGCAAGCACTCAACCACTAAGCTACATTCTCAGCCCAGGAAGCCCAAACTTTGAGAAAAGGCCTTTGTAACAAGTCTGTCAGTAATGAAACCAGAAGACTGCAAAGAAACTTGGGGATGAGGAGGGGTGTTCTATCCTTGACTGTCTGGCATAACTGGATCTAAAATTCACCAGTCTGATTCTTTTCTTTTTTTTTTTTTTTGGGTCCGGTCATGGGGTCTGAACTCTGGGCCTGGGCGCTGTCCCTCAGCTCTTCAGCTCAAGGCTAGCACTCTACCACTTGAGCCACAGCGCCACGTCCGGCTTTTTTCTTTTTGCTTATGTGGTGCTGAGGAATTGAACCCAGGGCCTCAGGCATGCAAGGCAAGAGCTTTACCACTGAGCCACCTTCCCAGCCCCTGGTCTGATTATTTTCTAGCTCAGTTTAGAAATGTACAGATCCAGTGCCACACAAGATGGAGAGATGAAAAATGAACTTGCTCTTGGAAGAATGAAGTTGCTCTTGGGTCTAACCTAAGTCCCTGTGCATTCACACCATTTTTCCTTTCTTCTACTCAACTCAAAAGATTTTGTAAAACTATAAATGGCTACAGGATATCTGTTTGTTGAATTTGCTCAGATATCACCATCTATATAGTCAAGGGCTGGGCTGTAGCAGTACAGATAGAGGTGTTCAGAGAAAACCCTTCAGCCCCAGCTCAAGCATGTTTTGTTCCCTGTGAGATATTCAGGTAATCTGTTACCAGAAAAAGCCTTCCACTTTTTGTGCTGTGTGTGTACCTTTCCTGATAACTCAGAACAAATTCAAGGTTATCCCTATAATAGCACCATTCATTCCCTTGAATTCCCAGGGGATTCCTTGAGTGCAGAAGGGGTTGAGTTACAGCTCAGGTGCTGGCAAGTAGGCCACCCAAAAGGAGGTCTAGAAAGGAAATGTCACCGCAGGGTGCTGGTGGCTCACAAGTGTAATTCTGGCTACTCAGGAGGCTGAGATCTGAGGATTGTGGTTTGAAACCAGCCCAGCCCGAAAAGTCTGAGAGACTATTAATTACAGAAAATGCTGAAGTGAAGCTGAGGCTCAAATGACAAAACACTATCACTGAACAAAAGGTCAAGTCCTGAGTTCAAGCTTTAGGACTAGCGTGCATCCGTGTGCGCATCCAGGCCTGGCCCAGAATTTCCCAGTTCCCAGACTAAAGACCTTTTCATGAGAGAAGAAAAAGTTGGCTCTGAGAAAGAGCTGTTACCTCTGGAGAGGAAACAGCACCATGGCAGTGGAGAGCTGCATTTGAACTGAAGTAGGGTCAGTGACTCTGGGTGTCTTTGTTTTGCACTCCTTTGTAAAATATCACACAAAATAATTCAGGGGCTATTTATTAAGTGAATGAGAAATGGCAAGATGATGGCAGGATGTTACCCACCCCTGCACCACAGGTTCCTCACCTGAAATGGAAGCGGGGAGGAAGAGGGAGAATTAACCTTACTCTTTCTTGCAAAGGTTACATGAGATAAGAAATATGAAAGCACTTTTTTTCTGGTCGGTCGTGGGGATTGAACTCTGGGCCTGGGTGCTATTCCTCAGGTCTTCAGCTCAAGGCTAGTGCTCTACCACTTGAGCTATATATAGCACCACTTCCAGTTTTCTGGTGGTTAATTGGAGGTAAGAGTCTTATGGACTTTCTAGACCAGGCTGGCTTTGAACCATGATCCTCAGATCTCAGCCTCCTGAGTAGCTAGGATTACAGGCATGAGCTACCGGTGCCTGCCGAAAGCACTCTTGAAGGGAACTGAATAAAGTGGTAGCACGTTCATCGAGTTTGGGAGTAGTCACCGGGGAGGAAGGAACACAAGGGGTACAGGAAGGACTTAAGTGGACAAAAGATTAGGGGGATCCACTGATAGGACTGTGTGCATGAGCATACTAGTCTCAGGCCATGCAAATTGTGTTGGGGGTAGCCAGCAGCCATAGTTGCTGGAATCTATGCTGTTTCTTTGAACATGATGCATGACTAATTGCATGGCTAGATGCATGGCAAGCATTTCCTCTTGCCAATGGTAATAAAAGATAGTTTGCATTTACTGACTCATTTGTATGGGCAGCCACTGTGTTTACACACCTTCTCAATGATCACAATATAAATACAAGGTAGGAATTATCATAAGCATTATAAAGACACTAAGCCCTCAAAAGCTCAGGTAAGTTGTTTAAGTTAAGGCAGCTAAGGGAGCCAGAGATAGCACAGGACATCAGGGAGCCTGAACCATGTTGTGCTACCAGCTGACAAGCACAGGAAGCACATGGCAAAAAAGATCACAGATACAGGTCTTTTAAAAATACATATAGGTAGTGGCGCTGTAGCTCAAGTGGTAGAGCGCTTGCCTTGAGCTGAAGAGCTGAGGGACAGCGCCCAGGCCCAGAGTTCAAGCCCCACGACCGACAAAAAAAAATAAATAAATAAAAAATAAAAAAAAATAAAAATACATATATTTGGGGCTGGGAAGGTGGCTCAGTGGTAGAGTGCTTACCTTTCATGCATAGGCCCTGGGTTCGATTCCTCAGCACCACATAAGCAGTAAAAGCAGGAAGTGGCACTGTAGCTCAAATGGTAGAGCACTAGCCTTGAGCTGAAGAGCTGAGGGACAGTACCCAGGCCCAGAGTTCAGGCCCATGACGGACAAAAACAAGAAACAACCAAAAACATGTATTTGCTGGTTCATGCCTGTTATCCAAGCTGTTTAAGAGGCAGAGTCCTGAGCATCCAGGTTCAAAGCTAGCCCAGGCAAGAAAGTCCATGAAACTCTTACCTCCAATTAACTGTCAAATAAAACTTGAAGTAAAGCTGTGGCTCAAGTGGAAGGGTGCTAGTCTTAAGCAAAAAGCAAAGAAACAGTGCCCAGGCTAAGTTCAAACCCCAGGACTGGCATATGCACACTCATGTACACACATACACACACATATACAAAACTCATTTCAAATCTTTTATCTTGTCCCAGCATTTCTTCCACAGAACCCATGTTTCTAGATAATGCCATAGGAAACAAAGGGTAGTTTTCTTCCACTTAAGCAAGCGACAAGAGTTCTACAGCACTAGTTATAAGGTGCTGAGTTTGCCAATGACCTTTAAATGGAAAATAAAGAGCAAGAGGTAAGATGCCCCCACCATTCCTGAAAGGTGATCAGGAAGGATTCTATCACTCTATTGTCCCCATCTTTTCTTGAAATTGTTCAGTCTCTATTGAGCATCAAAAGCCCTATGGAATTATAAATACTATGATATTTATGAACTGCCTGAAGGTTAACATTTCTAGGAAATTTTATTTCCAGTTTGGAAAGAAATTTGAACCAAATGAAAGTCAGCTCTGCAAACAAGATAAACCAAAGGTCTGCAGAATCATCCTGACCACATGATTTCCTCAGAGGCCTCAGCAGTACTTGAGCAGAGTGGATAAGAGAAGCATAATTT